TATATGGATGCTAAATAATTCATATATAATAATTCATAATTCATAATAATGAATTAATTCATAATAATTCATAATTCATAATTCATAATAATTCAATTTACTCAAAAATAAATAAAATGAGCAGATTCCAAATTATTTTTTATAAAATTAAGATTTCAGAAGATCTAATTCCAGATGAAAGGACTCAGATGAAAAAAACTATGTTTACAACATTAACTGCAGACCATGTTTTTAACAAGGCTTCTTATATTTAATGAATACGTAAGATTCAATTTATTTCCTTGCATCAAGTTTCCTACAAGCAAATAGTTTTACATATATTATAGACAGACACCTGTAAATTTGATACAGAAATTCTGGCTGGCAACTTGAACTTCTTTATCAAATTTGAAACTGATTGCCAGACTGACTACCTTCCAAAATACTTTAGTAGCTTACCATATCATTTAGAAACAATTTGTTCAATAATTTTCCACAATTTTTGCTCTGTGGATAGACAATAACCTATCATCAGATTTGTACTTCTTCAAGTTTATAAAATTACAATCCAGCATGTTCTACCATCAAGGAAACCTATGCTAGGTTATTCATACTTGTATCTTCGCAGCTTTCCTTCTCTTATACCATGTTATCTTCAAAGAATAATAGATCATCAACAAATCTGAGATAAGCTTTCTTTAATCCACTTTCCTTCCCCAAAAAATTATAGGCACTATTTGTAAGCTGCCCAGAGTCACCAGTGAGTCGGTCACATATAAATTTAATGAATAAATAAAAAACCCTTTTTCATTTTAGATTTCATCCTTTGTAGTAGGATTGCTTGGAAAAAAAGTTGTCAAGGATTGCAATCATTCAGAACAGGACTTTTCATCACATGCAACATGGAAAAAATTTATCTAAATGTTTTTGTTTACTTTCCTTTCCTTTATAAGATATAAGTAGTTTTCGAGTTTCTCTTGCTTTCTGAGACCTGTTCTTTAGGGATAAATGTTCTAAACTGGAAGAAATGAAAATATCTTCAGCAATGGGTAAAGAATTTCTAGGTGCCTCTTCTGTAACATATATTTTCTTCATTTACACATTTCAAGACAGCAGAGAAGGATATTTACCAACACCTTTAACACCTGCTTTTTTGATGGAAATATATACTAATGTTGTGTCAAGGAGGTAAATATTTTCCCTAGTTTTGGCTGTGTCAACAATTGTTCATATTGCTCTTTAATATGTACTTCTTGTAGGCAGATTATATCAAATTTTAATTTCTCTAATTTATGGAAAGTTTTCCTTTTAATGGCTGAATTAAGTCCATTTATATTAATTGTAATCAATTTTTTTCTCTTCCATGGTTATATTTTATAATTAGGTTTGGCAGCTCTCGTGGATCTTGGTTCACGTCCTTTGGCTTCCTCCTTTCCATCTACTGCACCTTCCTCTTTTTCAGTCGTCATTTGGCAGTCCTCTTGGAATTCAATTAGTGAAATTTCTTTTTCTGCCTCTTCCTCTTTCCCTCTGAAAAATTATGTATAAAATGATTCAGCTTTCTCAATTGAATCAATTCTGTATCTCTGTTCTTGCGTTAAACCTTCTGGAATTAGCCATCTATAATCTATAATTCACCTCTTTTTTAAGTAGCAATTTGGTCAAGAATCGGTATTCTCTTCTCATCTCTCTCACTCTTCTGGGTACTTGTTTCAAAATCACAATCTCCTTATCTTTATATTTCAATGTTTTCTCTCTTGCCACTTGCAATATTTGCGTTTTAATGGCTTTCTTTGTAAATCTGATGTGAACTTCTCTTGGTAGGCTATTTCTCATTGCGTATCTTGTGAACACTCGATAAACCTCATCTATTCCATCCATCATCTTCTCTTCAGTTATTTCCAAAGCTTCAGCCAATATTTCTATCATTATCTCAGCTAGACTTTGTCCTTTTTCTTCCTCTATGTTTTGGAATCTGAGATAAAATTCTGATCTGTCCATCTCCCATCTCAGCATACCACTTTTATCTTGTTCAACCAGTTAATCTGGTATCAATGTCTCCAATCTTCTTATCTCTTTGTTTATCTTCTTCTTCAATTTTTAGTAGTCTCTCATCATACTTCATCATCATTTGTTGGATGTTCTCGACTTTTTCATCAGTTTTCCCTGTTCTTTGTTCAATGTTTTCTATTCTCTTTTCAATATTCTCTGATCTTGTTTGAATGTTTTGAATTCCTTGCATAATCATCTGCAGGGTCACGTTGTCCTCCAGATGGTGGAGAGGAGGAAGTAGAAGTTGAAGAACCAGTAGCTGTTAATTTCCTACTCATTTCAAACAATTCAAAATCTTCAGGTTCTTCTAGAGCTTAATCCAATTGTGAAGTAACCAATTGCAATTCCAAATAAAAATAGTAGGGAAAAAGAAGCCAAATAGTAATAATAATAATAAAAAAAAAGAAAAAAGAATTTCTTCAGGTTCTTGTATACCTTAATCCAATCGATTAGTTAGATAACAATGCAAATTCAAAAATGAAGGAAAAAACCATAAACATACACAAAGGAGAAAAAGTTGTAAAATCCTAAAAAAGACGGAAAAGTGAAGAATAAAAAGCTTAAAAAAAGGAAAAATTCTTCAGGTTCTTCAACACCTTAATCCAATTAAGAGGTCTCAAATATAAAAGGCTGCATAAGAGAAAAGAAAAAAACCCAGGAAGATAAAAAGAAAGAAAAAACCAGTATTGGAGGTAGATGGAAAAACAAAAGTACCAGAAAGGCCAAAAGAGAAAAAGAAAAAAGGCTACTTCCTTAAAAAGAAAAGGAAGAGAATCATTAATACTAAAACATTTCTTTTAAAATAAAAAACAAACGTAAAAAATTAACTTCCAAAGACAAGCATAAAGAAAAAAAAAGCAAAGACAAGCTCCAAAGAACTAAAAGTCCAAATAGCTATTTCAAAAAGTAAACTGTTGAGGAGGGGTAGCACAGCTTAGGAAAAATCAAGAAGACACACTGCACTTTGTTTAGTTATCCAAGCCTCTTGTTATAATACTCTTCTCCAGAAACTTGTCACCTTTTCTTTTCCTATAAACTTCAACACCAGACTCCAGCTGTTGATAGAAACCCAGAAGAGCACCTGCAATAATACTCTCCCATGCTCTTCCCTCTATCTTATCAAATAGCAATGTCCTTGAAAAAGAGTCTCAGTTCTTTCTTTCTCAGCTTTGTCTGGTCACAAGAGAAATAGAATATTTCCAAGCCTCTAGTTGGCAGTGTTACAAAGTTTCTTTGCTTTCACTTTCCCCCTCCTTTTCCAAGCAAAATGCAATAAGAATTAATAAAAAAAAGAAAAAGATATTAAAAAAAATAACTAAAAGGAAGTCTCTAGCCTAAAATGGTTACAAAATCAAAAAGGAGAAAAGAAAAATAGATGGAAAAGAAAAAACCATTCCAGTTTCAAAATATAAGATCATGTATAGAAAATCCAGCAATGAGAAAAAAAAATTACTTTGACATTCCTGTTTAAAATCGCCGCTTAATCACTTCTTTCAAAACTTTTACAGATTCTTTCTTTTCCTTAGGGTGTCCTTTCAGATCTTAGAATAAAGAAAAAGTTCTCACCAAACCGGCACACTCTCTTTCTGTTCTCTTCCGTTTCGGAGCTGTCCCAACTTCAGCAGCTTTAATGGCTGCCTGTTTGCCGCTGGCAAGAAGAGATTCTCCTGGATCTACCAGGGACTTTGCGGTGTCCCTGGGATCGACAGGATGCGCTCTTCACTTTCACCATCTCTTCGGGATGGTTTAGATCCGATAGGATCGTCCAGGAGCAAAGATATCGGCAGCGATCTCAGACCTCCAAGATCGCATGCCGTATCGTCGTGACGCCAGCTCCGCCCTCTTCAATATATACTAATTTTGTACTCTTATGAAATGGGAGAGTTTGATTAATGTGACCTATTTGGGGGGGGGGGAAGACT